CAGTCTATATTCTCTGTCCATGAGTCTATTTCTGTCGAGACTTGATTTTTAAAGCCTTAAAACCACTGTTTTAATGAATTCTGAAGCATAATAGCTTTATTTTTGTTTTTAGCTTCTATAGAGGACTTTTGTGTTTCTGTAATCTTTCTTTTCTGTATAAGGCTGGGGTGGGTAGAGGTCGGGGGTGGTTTTCCAAATGCTGTGGGGACTGCGAGGAGTCCTTGAAATCCTTGGTGGCAAGTCTCCTTTGCCTCTGAGGCCTTCCCTGCATGTGGTCCTAAGGACAGGCTACTTAAGAATGCATTCAGGGCCAAGGATAATTAGAATCCTCTGAAAGGATGGCTTTGCCAGTAGCCTGGTCCCTTCTGATGAAAACCATGACCTCCGCCGTGCTCCTGGCCGCTGCCGTGGGTGTCAGGAGATGCTCCCTGTGAGCCAGGCCCTTTCACCTACGCGGAGGATGGTCCTCACTAGCTCTTGGTTTCTGCCTCTTATGCTGGCACTCCCCTGTACAATTCGTGGGTGGCAAAAGCAAGTGTGAACAGCACACAAAAGATTTTCAGTCTAAGAATAGACTTTGATAGCTGCTCAGCACACAGTGCATGGTGCTTCTTTCCACCTTTTCATTATTTGGTAATTGAACCAACAGACACTTAATTCTTTCCTCTGGAGTCTTCATTAAATTGCTCGGAAAAGATAAAATTGTAACAAGAAAGAAAAATGTACAAATTTAACTACCGTCGCCCGTTGCTGGATGCTTCTCACGAAAGGCTTCTGGGCTTTAAGTAAACAGAATATTTTCAACTTGTATTGAATTCAATTTCAGTTGCATTCAGTGGCTCAAACTGATTTTCTAGGGGCTTACCCTCAGATTGAGAGATGATGCGAATGACTCCTTGTCTGGAGGGCATGCACGATTAGTCACTTTTTGCAGAATGGTCATGAACTTGCCCAGTTGCAGCCATGTGCTCTCACCCTGGGCCCCATCTGACATTTCTGGGTCTGTAATAAGAGATCACCCTTGTCCAAGGAATAGGGCTGAATTAAAGGTCTCCCATAGGTTCCC